ACAATCTCATAGAAGAGAGAGAAATTCGTAAGGGGGAAATTGAAGAGGGAAAAGCAATGAAACAGAGGGAATGAGCAAAGAGGGTGAGAGAAGAAGAAAGAGATACAGAAGTCAGAGAAACAAGAGTGAGAGACACATACACAAAGGGAGGGAAAGAGAGAGAGAGAAGCAGAGGCTCTGCTTAACCATTCATAGCACACAGCGATCACTCATGCACAAACACATACAAAATACACAAAGGCCCCACTTTCACTATCTCACACACACAACTTTGTGCTGTTAGACTAAGCAGAAACAAAGGTGCAGGTAAGACAGAGGGTCCCTGGGAAATACCACACACACACACACACACACACACACACACACACACACACACACACACACACACACACACACACACACACACGGCTGGTCCCGGAGAGCCTGACTGTCAATATCAAGTAGAACGAACAGCTCCCACAATGCCTCAGCACGCCCCAACCGCAGGACCCAGTGGGGCTCTGCTGACACACACCGACATACACACAGGCGCACGTATGCGAGGTACAGGCGCAAAGGCAGCAGCATGCACCAAAACTTCACAAACACCACTCACGCAAACATACAGTTCAGCAGGATTGTTTCAGTCTCCTGCACTCCTGGTTGGTTTCACTCTGCTTTTCAAATTAACATAAATTAAAAACACAGTACTGGCCGATTCATCTGCCACTGTTAATTACTGTTGAAAAGCTTAAGAGATACAGCGGGGCAAAAAAGTATTTAGTCAGCCACCAATTGTGCAAGTTCTCCCACTTAAAAAGATGAGAGAGGCCTGTCATTTTCATCCTAGGTACACTTCAACTATGAGAGACAAAATGAGAAAGAAAAAAAATCCAGAAAATCACATTTTTAAAGAATTTATTTGCAAATTATGGTGGAAAATAAGTATTTGCTGAATAACAAAAGTTCATCTAAATACTTTGTTATATACCCTTTGTTGGCAATGACAGAGGTGAAACGTTTTCTGTAAGTCTTCACAAGGTTTTCACACACTGTTGATGGTATTTTGGCCCATTCCTCCATGCAGATCTCCTCTAGAGCAGTGATGTTTTGGACCTGTCGCTGGGCAACCCGGACATCTAACTCCCTCCAAAGATTTTCTATGGGGTTGAGATCTGGAGACTGGCTAGGCCACTCCAGGACCTTGAAATGGTTCTTACGAAGCCACTCCTTCGTTGCCCGGGCGGTGTGTTTGGGATCATTGTCATGCTGAAAGACCCATCCACGTTTCATCTTCAATGCCCTTGCTGATGGAAGGAGGTTGTCACTCAAAATCTCACGATACATGGCCCCATTCATTCTTTCCTTTACACGGATCAGTCGTCCTGGTCCCTTTGCAGAAAAACAGCCCCAAAGCATGATGTTTCCACCCCCATGTTTCACAGTAGGTATGGTGTTCTTTGGATGCAACTCAGCATTCCTTCTCCTCCAAACATGTCTAGTTGAGTTTTTACCAAAAATTTCTATTTTGGTTTCATCTGACCATATGACATTCTCCCAATCCTCTTCTGGATCATCTAAATGCTCTCTAGCAAACTTCAGACGGGCCTGGACATGTACTGGCTTAAGCAGGGGGACACGTCTGGCACTGCAGGATTTGAGTCCCTGGCGGCGTAGTGTGTTACTGATGGTAGCCTTTGTTACTTTGGTCCCAGCTCTCTGCAGGTCATTGACTAGGTCCCCCCGTTTGGTTCTGGGATTTTTGCTCACCGTTCTTGTCATCATTTTGACCCCACGGGGTGAGATCTTGCGTGGAGCCCCAGATCGAGGGAGATTATCAGTGGTCTTGTGTGTCTTCCATTTTCTAATAATTGCTCCCACAGTTGATTTCTTCACACCAGGCTGCTTACCTATTGCAGATTCAGTCTTCCCAGCCTGGTGCAGGTCTACAATTGTGTTTCTGGTGTCCTTTGACAGCTCTTTGGTCTTGGCCATAGTGGAGTTTGGAGTGTGACTGTTTGAGGTTGTGGACAGGTGTCTTTTATACTGATAACTAGTTCAAACAGGTGCCATTAATACAGTTAACAAGTGGAGGACAGAGGAGGCTCTTAAAGAAGAAGTTACAGGTCTGTGAGAGCCAGAAATCTTGTTTGTTTGTAGGTGACCAAATACTTATTTTACCGAGGAATTTACCAATTAATTCATTACAAATCCTACAGTGTGATTTCCTGGATTCTTTCCCCCCGTTCTGTCTCTCATAGTTGAAGTGTACTTAGGATGAAAATTACAGTTCTCTCCCATCTTTTTAAATGGGAGAACTTGCACAATTGGTGGCTGACTAAATACTTTTTTTCCCCACTGTACCAACACTAAAGATGGAAACCTGATATTAATACCTTTGTTATTTTAATTTAAAGTCACTTTATAATGTGTTTCACCATTATGTGTTGTAAAAGTGTTGAAACGTGATTTACAAACAAACTTTCCTAGATGCAATTTCTCTTAATACCTACTCACAAACTACCTTGCAGGTCTCCCCTGAAAAAGAGATCTATGATGTCAAGGGACAATCTGGAAAAATAAAGGTTTGAAATGAACCTCCTGACCCCAATAAAAGGCAATGTCAAAGACTTGTTTCTGGAGGTTTTGAGTCGAAAATTCCTCATAAGTTCAATAAAAGTGTTGATCTTTGACTTATCCTCCTCCTGTCTCACCTTGGGTGCAGGTGAGGCCTCGGCCTTCTTCCCAGCAGCGCTGGTTTCCGGGCTGACTTCAGGGTGATCCGTCTGGACGTGACTTTCCAAGTCCTCCAGACTTTCAAACTTCACCCCGCACTCCGGACACCTCAGCCCGGAGGGGGCCTTCTCTCCCTGTGAGTCCCCCTGCGTGGCAGCGAGTCCCTGGTTGGGGCTCTGACCGTTCGTGCCCCTGATGTGATTGAACATTTTATCAGTTTTAGATGCTTTTAGTAATAAAAACGTTGGCTCCTACCCCAACCCCAATCCTAACCCCAACCCTAACCCAGGCTGAAATAATTGGAATAGTAATGACACCATTTCAAGCTTTCAAATACCCCACGTTTCTCTATGATATCACTGTATAAAGTGATCTTTTATTAACTAAAATATGTTCATAGTTGGTTTCCTACCTGCTCATGCAGCCAGCACAGAGGCCATAAGGCAGGCCGTTGACATCCAGCTTCACCAGCTCCCCTTTGTTCTTGAACTCCTTCAGGCAGAAGGCGCACTTGTACATCTTATGCAGCTGCAGCTGGCCGTTAGGGGACGAAGAGGCTGAACCATTCCCTCCTCCGATCAATCCATTCCCGGTTCCTCCTCCTCCTCCTCCTACTGATCCTCCCAGTGTAGAACCAGTGGAGAGTTTCTGCATGTGGAAGGTGCCGTGGATCTTCAGCTCCAGGGTGGAGGTGACGGTCTGCATGCAGACGACGCAGCGGAAGCCGGTGAGGGAGTTGCGGAGATCAGGGTGCATCTGGCAATGCTCAATAAACTCCTCCTCGCTCTGCAGGGGCATCTTACAGATCCGACAGGTACCTGTGTCCAGGCTCTTACTGTGGGTCACCTGCAGAGAGGAAGAAGAAAGACAATGATGCACAAAGCAGTGAGTAATAACACCTTTTATATAAGCATAGGAAACATATAAAGACACTGTTGTTTTAAACTCAACTGAATCAAAAGTTTGCTGTAGTTTGTTGTGTGTTGCAGCACAAATTGCCTCTCTAAGGACAATTTAACATTCCAAATTCAAAGCAGCCAAATAAGTTGTAGGATCAAAAGACAGATACACAGCAAACAATAAAGTAACACAAGAGAAAAGCAAAGGAAACTAGTGTTGTTATACCTGTGAGGGTATCTACTGACTATTTGTTCCCTACAAATAAACTCCAAATGACATCCTGAAACATGAATACTCCAACAGACATGAACATGAAAGCAGTACCTTGTGTTCGGTGAGGGTTAGCAGGGAGGGAAAGCGCTCGCCACAGATTGGACACATGTAGTGTTTGGCGGGGCCGCGGTGCGTCTGAGCGTGCTCGCGGAGACCACTCTCAGAGAAGAACGTTCTGGAGCAGACGTTGCACTTGTGGTTCCCCTTGATGAAGTCTGCCTTCTTCTTTCGAGAAGCTGAAATAATCAACAAAGAAACATTATATGTTCTGTGGGACAACCTTTGAAACAAGCTTTTATTTGGTAGAATCTTACTAGCATCATCATCTCCCGGCCGGATGTTGTGGTCGCGCAGCCGGTGGTTCTGCAGGAGCGACTCCATGGTGTAGGCCGCTCCGCAGATATCACACGCGTACATGGGCTCTGAGTTGTCTAGCTCCTCCTCTCCTCCGCTGGCCTCGTGGCTGTTGGCCGTGTCCCCCCCCTGGCCGGCTCCTGCGTTCTTCAGCAACATGTTCTGCAGGTCCGCTTGTTCAGCTGCCGCCACCGTTGCTCTCTCGACGCCTCCCGCACCTCCATTCCCTCCACTTCCTCCTCTCTTGGAGGACTGCGCCAGCCCGTTGGGTGTCCCGTTATGACTCGCCCCGCTCCCTGTGCCCCCTCCATTGCCGGTGATGTTGCCGCTGTCGAAGATGCAGTGCTTGTCCCTCAGGTGCCTGTCCAGCAGTGACATGGCTTGGAACGCTTTGCCACAGAAGCGACACGTGAACTTCTTGCTGTGTGTGGTGATGTGGCACTGGAGCTCCACCTCCGTTCCAAACGTCTCTCCGCAGAAGATGCATTTACGGGGCTTGAGTCCTGAGAGACAGAAGTCGGATTAAGAGTTAAAATAATTTGTAGTCTTTGGTAAATAATGACTTAAGCTTTTTTTGATTACATTCTCTTCTATATAATCACCACCTGGATATGTATGCAATTCTATCTGTACTTTTCTAATGAAACTAAGCCTATAATCCCAGGAAAGATGAACAGTACCTGCTCCGAGCCCCCCTGGGAGGCCTGACCTCTGGCCCAGGTGGTTATGCTTAACATGAATCTGAAGATCCGACTCTTTCCTGAAGTCCCAGGCGCATGCTGTGCAGCGAAACAGCTTCTTCTCATTGCTGTGCTTCACTGCCAAATGCACCTAAATGGCAGAATGTTGAAAAAATAAGCAATCATGGTTGATTCATTTCTATTATTACAGCACACATGTTCTTCATCACAATGTAATGTTAGTATTCTTGGCCAAAGTAAATGAATTCACCTGTATGGAGACTTTGGAGTCAAAGACCTCCTGGCAGAGCGTGCAGTGGTACAGGACGAATGTGTGCATGTCCAGCAGGTGTTTCTGCAGGTCGTCCACGGAAGAGAACTGCTTGTCGCAGCTCTCGCACACATACTGGGTGGAGGTGGTGGTGTAGTGGACTGTCAGGTGCTGAAGCAAGGCCTCCTGGGATTCAAAGTCCTCCTTGTTGCACTGGGGACAGGACTGGCGCCGCAGCAGCATCTCCAGGTGGGACTTCAGGTGGGCCTGGAAGCCCTCGAAGCTGGAGAAGCGGAGGTCACACTGGTTGCACGGGTAGTCCCCGTTGCTCCCCATGGAGGGGGTGGAGTCCCCTCCCATTCTGTGGCGTTTTGGGGAGGAGATCTCCACGTCAGAGGAGGCCGGGCTCAGGTCTGCAACTTTTGCCTGGCGTTTGTTGTTAGCCAGCGGGATGTTCTTGTGGTTCTCCTTGATGTGCTTGGTGAGCTTGAGGAGTGAGCCGAAGATAGGAGAGTTGGTGCAGTAAGGGCACGAGTAAACCTATACATAGACAGTAGCTCTTTACTTTTTAAAGTGTTATACTGTACATGGACAAATACTGTTATTTACTTATTGGGGAATGAAATATCAGATGGAATAGGAAAGATAATGAGAAAGACAAAAAGAGACAGAAACAAAGATAGGCCGTAATTTACTATTGCAAGTTCAGATTTAATAGAATAAGAATTAGCAGACTGGAAACCTTTGAAAGCCATGGGGTCATTTCAATCTATACAAGTTGCATAACAATAGTGGATTATGAGGTTAAAAGGTTTGGTTTTAAGTGTAATTCCTGACTGTTCATACCTCCATGAAGGACTGCGATGCAGACTGTAGCACAGGAGACTCCAGTTTGGTCACAACTCCTCCGGACCCGGCTCCGCCCCCTGCCATGGAGCTGCAGTGCGTCTGCTGGATGTGTTCCGTCAACGAAGACTCCGTCAGGAATCCCATTGAGCACTGGTTGCAGAAGAAGGCATGGTTCCCTTCTACAATACAAGAATACATTTAAATTATAAGATGTAAGTCCCAAGCGTTTGCTTTCTAGTCCAAAGTCTTGCCTCAAGTCCTAAACGTTGGGTTTCCTAAACAAACCATAATGTGCCACTTCGATGTTTTGCAGACTGCATTTTTGTCTTCATGACCACTGCATAGTTATAGTACACAAACAAACCTTTGTTTTTTTCTGTATGTAACTTTAGTTATTCATGGTTCTGTCCTGCAACTTGATTGGCTACAGTATGATTGGTTTGTATAAGTGGATGTGACAAATCAAGTGTGAAACTGCTGGGAATGAACAGTGGTAATGTTGTTGTGAAGATGAATTACTGCATTTTAGGCACACTTTTTAAAACAACATACATTTAGTTTGTTAGTTTATGGAAAGGTATCATGTTATTTTAAGGCACAAGGCTCAAGTAAAGTCATTGGTGTTAAAGCCAGACTCTAGTTGCTCATCTTTTCTAATGTTATTATAAAATGTGTGATGTGGTCATGTGGCTTTGAGTCAACCTCTCCTCATTAGTGTAATATACATTTTAGGATTTTCAAACAATAACTGCCTTTATCAGTACGTAAAAATACAAGCACTACAAACGATGTACCAGAAAAACTCATACTTTGACATCTTAAAGTAACTTTCCATTTCTTAGGAGGAGTTTCGTCCAAGACGCACCTAATGTAGTGGATCCCGCTACAATCCCGCCGGGCAGGCAGTGTGACTGTCTGATGTGCTCCTGCAGAGAATTGATGTCTCCGAACATGTCTGGGCAGTAGTTACAGTGGAACGCTGTGACGTTAGTGAACTGCAGCAGCGGAAACGCTGCTGCTGCCGCTGAGCCTAAGGTTCCCCCGCTGGAGCGGTGGGCTTTGCGCACGTGTTCGTTTAGGTTGTAGAGCGTTGGCAGAGTGTCCAGACAGAGATGACATGTATGGCTCTGCTGCGGCTTATCCGCATGGATGGTCTTCAAATGGATCTCCAACACCGCCAGGCTGTTGAAGTCTCTCTTCGAGCAGTACGGGCAAGAGTACGTAACTTTACCCCAGCCCCCTCCTCCCCCTGCGGAGAGGGAAAGATACACTGCTTCATTAGAAACACATAAAGGGAGTCTGAGCTTTTAAATATGTGGTGACTATATAGAGTGGTGCAGTGATGAAGTATTTCAGTTTGTCTCAAGGGCTCCCTCAACAAAAAGCTATTTTTCTATTGGATTTTGGAATATAGCAGGAAATAATATATTTGACACACGTTAATGATACTTGCACGTTTTGTTCAACAGGATCATCTGCACATATTTTCACCACTTTTATGATTTGTAAATACAGTGTAAATACGATCGCAATAAGTTAAAAGCTAACGGCTATAAACAAACTAAATCACAGTTCCTAAAGTTGGGCTCATGTTTGCCGTGATCACATTAGTAGTCTCACTTAGTCACTTGCTATCAACCACCATTTTTATGAAACCTAGAAGCTTCGGACATTCGCAAGGTAGGAATTTACTGACATATTTTATGTTGTAGAACAAAACGTGAAAATCTCTTTAGCTTGCGTTAACCACAGATGTTATATCAGACATTTAATTAAATAAAACGTTGAAAAAGTGTAATATATTAACTAATTTCCAGGCTTCTTCGTCTCATTCCTACACCACTCTATAATCAACAGATGTATCTGTAACCATATCTCCACCTTGATGAACCAAGCTTATTCCGATATCTTCCCCGATCGTGTCGATGCCTCTCCTGCGGCCTCGTTCGATCCCCTGGCTGGGCTTCAGGGTAGAGTCCGGCGTGGAGCCTCTCTCTAGGCTGGCACTAGAGTCCGGAGTGGCCGAGCTCATGGAGGCCACGCTGCCCAGCGCGGGGTCGGGACTGGCAGCGCTGTGAATGGAGGAGTCCGGCTGCCGATGGCTGTCTAAGTGGCAGTAGACGTCCTCCACAGACGGGAATTGTTCTGAACAGACAGGACATCTGGGGGGAACAGAACAAGTCAAATGCAGGTTATATCCCAGTGTAGCAGACTCTATTTTCTCCCAACTTCTACAACAGCACTTAAAGGTCCCCTATTATACTGTTTTTCATCAATATATTATAGGTCTCAGATATAAACAAACATGTCTCTGAAGTGTTTGGCTCTAAACACCAAACAGATCATTGCAGCATCCCATAAACCCCTCTGTTTCAGCCCTGTTTCAAAAGTGTCTGTTACTTTAGATGAAAATAAGGAGCCACTCCCCACGCCCCTCTGAGAAATATTTGGTTAAAAAGAACACAATGCTCTAGGAGGAGATTCAGGTGATAAGGTGGGGGGGGTTACCTTGGTTGGTGATTGGCTAATGGTTACACAAGCCAAAGCATTGTTATGACATCACAAAGTGGCCTCAGCTCATTTTCAGACAGGTTTTTATATAAATGGATCAGGACAGAAAGAGAGGGGGTCTTTGTTCCTGAAACGTTCAGAATGTCTTTACACAGACACATGTTTATGTATAAAAAACATGAAAAAGTGGATTTTTCATAGTAGGTGACCTTTAACATTAAAACAAATCAGCGGGTTGGAAACTTTAAAAAGCGAAACTCTGTAATACTTGTGTTTGCGGTTGGCATGCTGTGTCTCAATATGCGTGAGGAGGGAAGCCTCGTCGAGGAAGATCTCCGGACAGTGGATGCACTGCAGGTCGGCTCGGTCGGACAGCTGGGGGTGTCTGGTCACCACGTGTTTCTCCAGCTCGTCTGTCTGGCTGAACGTCTCCTCGCAGTAATCGCACATGTACAGGTCCTGCTCCAGGTCAGCGTCTCCTCCTGCTCCCTTCTTCCCACCGTCCCGCTCACTCCTCAGGGCAAGGTGCTCTCGGTTCTTGCGGTGAGCCTGTGAGTCAGAAAGAAGTCGAGATTTAAAGATTGATTTTTTTTGTTCTGTTTTTGTGGATTTGCTTTAATGCATTATTTTTGGGGGAATTGAATGAGCAACAATGGGAATGCTAAGCAGTTAGATCACGGCATTGTAACAGGAAATTACAATAGTACAAATAAGTGTTTACCTGCATGTGGCTCTGCAGTGATGAGGTGGAGGAGAACCCACGCTTACACACACTGCACTTGAAAGGTTTGCTGGAGCTGAAGGAGTGAATTGAACAACATTTAAAAAACACTAGAACAAAAGTCACAAATCAGACTCAGGAAAATGTGTAGTGAATGAAAAGCAAATAAAACACTGGCTGTAAAGCGGGTACCTGTGTGTCTTCAGGTGGATCTTCAGGTGATCGGAGCGGGAGAACGCAGCCTCACACTCCTGGCAGCTGTACTTCTTATCTCCTGCATCAGTGAACAAATTGATGAGAGACAATTTATTCAGAAGAAAAAACAAGCGTTATGTTGTAGACCTCAAAGCATGGACAGTCAGAACACCTGTTGCCTCTTGTCTTATCATCTACCTGTGTGGAGCTTGACATGGCGGTCTCTGCTCCTCTTGTGTTTGAACAGGCGACTGCAGAAGGTGCACTTGAAAGGCAGCTTGTCGCTGTGGATCTGCTCGTGGCGCTTCAGGTAGCTCAGGCGGCTGGGGAGAAGTCATTTGAAGTCATTTACAAAGGCAGGTCATAGTAAGATCATTACCTTTGATTTGGACGGCATTTTAAAGTACGAAAAAGTGGTTTGATAAAGTAAAACGTCCTCATCACAATAAATTAGTTAGTTAATACACTTCAGATAAAATCAACAAGAAGTTTATTCTTATAAACATTTTAGCGACTTCTGGTTTTGCTACAATTTACACACACAGTATGTCATTTTCTGACACTAGTTTGCTGTCGTGTGAAGTGGCGTGGTATCATGGGATATGCGGTCTTCACCACTATTTTTGTCATTGCAGTCATTTTCTCCTGGTGATTTGAACCACTAAAACACTGAATAATGCAGTATTCATTGAAAATCTGGGATATTCAGATGGTGTCCGGCCAATGCTAAAAAGTTTGTTTCGGGGGTTTTTACAAGATAATGTAAGAACCAGACGTCCTATGACTCAAATCCTTAATCCGGTTAAACTTTATAGTTGTGGACAGCTTCCAGGATACAACCACAAAAAATGTACATGCGCAAAGTGGATACATCGCCATTACAGTTGAGCAAACAAAACATTGTAACTTATACTTAAAAGATATCAATGTTTTCACAGTTACGGAGTTTGCAGTACCAAAGTTTGAGAATTACTCAAAACATTTAGGGTATTGTAAGTACACATTATACTAAATATAAGCATGTGTCCTTTTTTTATTTTAAGATGAATCAACCTCAGAGGTATTTTACTGTTTAAGTGTTACAACACTGATTGAAAAGGTTTCTGTGGTTTTGATAATGTGTTAGGCTGCTATTAACATTTGCTTATCTTGTTTCGCTAATACATTAGGATGCAGACGTTAGATGACTAAAATCCTTCATCTGGTGAAAATATATAGTTAAAAATTACAAGGATCTAGATAATGCATCGAAAGGTTGAGGCCTTACAATAGACCAGAAGTCAATTGAGGACAGCATACAACCACAAAATGCTGACGCATTAGCAAAGGGTATAAGTCACCATTACAGGTGACAAAATGAAACGCACCGTTTGATTAACGTTACAGATTCATACACAACTCAACATCATGTATAACATGGATTTGGACGTTTTTTGACAGTTTAATGCGGAAATATTTCATTAAAATATTTAAACTACTTCTAATATCACTGTTTTCAGAAGGTAAAATAAGAAATAGAGAAGGGGCAACAGAGGAGGATTATGATGACTTTATGGTGTCTGTGACAGCTGTTCTTAAAGTGGGTCTTGAGTCAGTCCCTCTGGAGGTGAGTGAGAAAGGTATTCACATCATTCCTTTCACCGTTTGCTTTAGTGGTCCACGTTACCATGGTAATATTGAGAACACTGTTTATTCATGTCACATTGATATTCATGCTACCAGGATGCAGCCAAATATGACATTAGTGTTACTGGCAGAGAGATGAAACCTGTAGCATGTTGGGGGGAGGGGGTGTACCTGAAGGACTTGTCACAGAACTGGCAAGGGTACGGCAGCCCGGCCCCTCCTTCCTCCTCGCCGCCGGTGGCCATGCCGAGATCGCAGCAGCCGTCGGGCATCTGAGAGGGCGACGCCACGTCTTTACTGGAGGGCGAGGAAGGCACCCAGGAGAGCCCCGCGGGGTCATCATCACCGTCTGAAGCAGGACAGGAAACAGACATTCATTTCAAATGCGTTTCATTCATCAAACACAAATATAAACACTCATTTTATACACAGCTGCAGGAGGGAAAAAAACAAGACAGACGGGGAAGTGGGGGTAAAACAGGGAGCATTAGAATGATTAAGAAGAAGTGTTCTTGGAAGGCAGAAGGCGGTAGAAAGCAGCCGGTGGGAGCGAAAATGAGAAAGAAACACATTTCTCCTGGTTACGCACACATATACAGAAGGAAAAAAGCAGTATGGCAGAGATAAAGGGAGCGAATGAAACAGAGACGCTCTCCGGCAGCAGCAACATCTAAATAGAAAGCTCCAAGAACTATGTATCCCCGACGGAGCCCGGAAATAAGGACAGAGTGTATTTTCTCTCCCTTCATCCTCCCTCTGCAGCCATCCCTCGTTCCCTCCCTCACCTCCCCTCCCTCCCTCCATCCCAGAGGACCATAGATCCGCCTCATCATATTTTCATTAGGGCCTTGGCAGATTGAAACGTCGGAAAAGCGATTAGGAGACGTGGAGAGCCGAGCGGAAAGATGGCGATATTCTCTCCCCCTTTATCTGTCGTACATAAGAGATTATGCATTGCTCTTTTCCTTTTTTCCTCTCGCACTCTTTTTCTCCCCCTCCTGTGTAGTCTGGCACAGAGGCGACAAAAAGGCCAAGACTCCTTTAATAGACACTTCAGAATGGATCCGGCGCGACAAAGGAGAGGGCTGAATAATGCTTGATATTGTCCTGTTCGTCTTTATGCGCTCTGTTTAGCATTAGCCTGAGAAATGTAAAGAAGAAGAAAAAGGAAAGGGGCTGTTGTTGTTGCTTTTCTCAGACAGCTATATCAACTAGGCCAGCGTCAAATCAAAGACAGAAAACTACAGTTATAGGATGGTAAAAGTCTGACGTGATTTGGGCCAATATTCATCATTAGGCCGATATTTCTGCAAATGCAAACACCCCGACAAGTGCAGGAGAAGAAGAGTTTCTACGGATCATTTTAGAAGCCGTGTGTGTGTGTGTGTGTGTGTGTGTGTGTGTGTGTGTGTGTGTGTGTGTGTGTGTGTGTGTGTGTGTGTGTGTGTGTGTGTGTGTGTGTGTGTCTGGTCTTCGGTGTATTACGTCTTGCAGAGAGGGGGTGGAAAACGGATTCCTGTGATGAATCGATCGCAGAGAAAATGTAGGCACTGCGATGAGCAAATAGAACTCTGCAGGGGGGGGGGAGAAACGTGAAAGCATGACTTATAAATTTGACTAGAACTTAGACAGGAGAATAAAAAAAGGTTTAAAAAAGCATAGGTAATAAAGATATCAACATGAAGCCAGAGGAGGATAGTGAGGGAGTCAGAGACGAGAAGAGGAAGTGCATGGAGGGGAAAAAAAGATAAAAAACAAACATAAATATAAGAAAAAATGAAAAATGAGAGACAATCAAAGACTAAACATTTTATAAAAATGTAATAATTTGTAAACATCAATACAACTCTGACATCATTTCCAGATTATTTAATTAATTGTATATAGTATATCGTTTCTTTCTCAGATTACTTTTTTTATTAAAAATGTAGTCTTAAGACACCCTTTTGCATTCAGGTGTCCCTATTTGCATCTTAAGAATTCTTCAATTATATAATACTTTAACTTTGAATGCCCCCCGGAGAGATGCTGTCCCTCTTTACTCCAATCACAAACAAGCTTGGAAGTCACTTGTTGTCAGGATCATGTGGGACATTGCTTTGGGCAGATAGAGACCCCCAAGTATTAATTTCTAGCCAACCATTTTGATAATCAATTAAGGCAATAATATCGAAAACCGAAGCAGCTAAATGGAACCCCTTTTCTACCGAGACATGTCAAAATATCTCCTGCAAAGAATATCTCAAAAAGTCGATAATTAAAGTGACTCGTTTTTTTCAAAACTTTTGCTGACAGTTGAAATTGAGCAAAGGATGAAACATGTAAATATGATTTGACCTGATGCTGGGAAACACCGCTGAGATCATGTATGTATTTTATAAACAAATGATGACCACACAACTGATCCACGGGTAAATACAAGGCAGATTATATTCCTCTGTGTTGCTGACAGGAGAGAATGAAGTAAATGTAGCCTTTTCATGTAGCAAAACTGGTGTTAAAATACAGTTTATAAAACACCAATCCAGACACCCCCCGCTGCTAACTCTACGGGGTACGTGTCATTTTGTGTAGTGTCAGTGTGAGAAGGAATGGTGCTACTGTCAGTTATTCAACACTTTCTTTAGAAATATAAGAAAAAGAGACATGCCGTGAATCTAAATTGTCCTTTGGAGTAACATAAAATAAGAAACAAAATGTCAAAGACACAGGGGCTGAAAGTCAGTCAAATGTGTCTTTACAGTGTTGATCATGTGGACCATTACAGGCACATCAGTATGGGTCTGTTAGATGGTAAAGTTGGTGAGCTGGGAAACAGAGAGAGAAAGGAAGAGATTGAGGGAGAAATCACTTTTTGAGGATGGAAGGAGGGGGGGGTTGAGGGGTGCTGAGAAAGAAGGGGAGGAGAGATTAGCGTCATTAAAGAGCCCTAATCCTCCGACTAGCGTGGCTGGCGCTAAAATGGAGGATCACACGGCTTTTTAACGGCGCCTTTGTCAGTGGGCCGCGAGGGGACCTGGCAAGACCGGCCAACAGCTGGCCGCCGGAGGGTGCAACATAATTATGGGGTGTAGTGTAAGAAAATGTGGCGGAGAACATTTCAATGAAAAGTTAAATTAGAGAACAATCCTCGAGAGAAGATGAGCAGGATGGACGGGGATTGGGGAGCGAAAAAGTAGTTGGCTTGAAAAAAAGAAGAGAGAAACAGGCAGGAGCAGGCGGACGCCTCCTCCTCCTCCTCCTCCCTCTCCTTCTTCTCTGGCGAATGAAAACGAACGAGGAGCCGAGTTGAGGACCACAGGGCCCCAACCGCTCCGCTGCCGCTTTATCTCTCACACTGCAGTCCTTTCCTTTTCCCATCCATTCCCTCTACCCTTCCTCCCTCCCTCTGTCCCCACCAGTCCCTCCACTCTTCCGTCTTCATCTCTCTTCCACCACCTCCCTCCCTTGCTCCCTCCCTCCGTCAGCTTTCATGTTGTTACTCATTATAACGCTGACATCTCTCCCTCCGTCCCTCCGACAGTCTCACCCCTACTGGTGTTGGCCTTCACCCCTGTGTCTCGGCCTGGACGGGACCGAGGGAGAGCGAGGGGGGGAGACGTTCCAGATGGACAGACTCTAAACTCCAAAGGAGAGGGAAGGGATGGCGGTATGAAAGACAAGAAAGAAGGAGGAGGAAAAACCAGGGGTCTGTAGCGAGAAATGGAAAAAGGACAACTGAACGGACCACCTGACGCATCATGCAAACAACTCACACACTCCCTGCTTGTCTCTCTAATAGGCCAGACAGTGTGGCAACGTGTGGAGGACACAGCCTTGGTGGAACACTCTAATGAAGAGACACACACGCTGATCAATCTTCTCTTCATGTTCCTGCCTCCCCCGTCCACTTCCCCCCCATCTAAACTCAGTTGCTCTGCCATGACTGTCGCACAGAGGGAGGAGACATCAAGGCAGCAGCGTTTATGAGAGAGAACTGGAAACTTTAGACACTTTTATGATCTTTAGATAATTATTTCCATCAACCAAATCTAAAATGTGAGAATAAATGACTAAAAGGCGTCTTTAAAAACTCTCATAAGTCTACATTTCCGCAGCTTTTGGCCATGACGTTGTTAAACTGATGAAGTTAAGGACTTGACGTGGAGGCCGCACTCGAGAACATTAGTTCGCTCTGCATTAACAGCGTCTGCTAAACGGCTGGAATGGAAATATAATCCATGTATGTCGCGCTTTCTCTCCTTCCTATCGCTTTGATGTTTGAATCAAAGGGGCTCAGCTGGTAGCAGCAAAAAGGTTTCGGCTCCCAGCGCTGCTGCTACAAGAGCTAAAACTGCTGACTGCCTGAAATGACATGTCAGAACTTACATTATGAATGAACAATACACAGTGATCTGATAAGTAAAGCATGCAATTAACTGAATATTAGGAGTCTAAATAGAGTGAAATTACTATGATTATGTATATAATTTGCTTATTATTTAAGCAGTTTTTTTTAATCATTTTTAGTATTTATTTATGTACACTATATGTGTGTATTATTATTATTACATATTTTCTTCATCCACGTTTAAAACATTGAGCAGTGACACGAACAGAAACACTTTTCCAATAAATACATTTTTTTTTTAAAGAAATAGAGTGATACAGATGTATTTAAAGACTTGATTTGATTGTTAAAATATTCTATTGTCATTGACTTACTGTACCTTTTATGCTAAATGTATTTCAGAACAAGCAAGGAATATTTTTATTAAATGTGTTTTATGCGACAGCCAAATGTAAAACTGTAATTGTTCTGCTTTCCGACATCTTATTCTGATTTTTGGGGTTTTGCCTTTCCTGTAGTGTTACATATTTTGGTGAAGGTAAATGGTCTGCAAAGGCTACAATCCCGAAGTGCCCTCGAGAGGGATATTCTCTCCCATACATCCCCCCCCCTGCGTGAAACGCCTCCATTGAACTCCTTTGTTTACTTATGTTACATAGTGACATCACTATGCATCACTCACGCTTCTATTAGCTAGCGCTCCAACACATGTACGTACAGTATGTGATAGGATAGAGGCAAAACATACCTGAAAATGAACATAATAGTGTCCTCTTTAAATTAAGGGTTCAGTTGTGGACCTGTTCTCTTTATAATCCTCCCATTAGCCTGTCTTTCTCTCCACTCCCCCCTTCCTGCTCCCTCTTTCCTCCCACCCCCTTCCAACTATCTTACTCTCCTCTCCACCTTTCGGTTTGGCCATCGGCCCAGACCTGCACCTTTCCCAGCGAGACCCCTGCTGACCCTCCTATCCCTCCATCCCACTCTCCCTTCATCCCTCCTTCCACGGCTCCCCAGGCCCCCTCCGATGGCCCCAGGCTGCCCCAAGCGTGCA